TCCTGTTACATCTGTATTTATACCAGTTGATTTTAATCCTATCCATTCTATTCCAAAGGTTAGGGCGTTTGTTAATCTAGTTCTGTTGAGTTTAATCCTGTCTAGGTTAATCTCTGTGTTCCATTATAAGGGCTATTCCAAGGTCACTGCTCTACTGATAAGCTACAAGGAAGTGACTGAAGGAGATTATCCTACCCAGTAAAGGTTATGTCCTCCCAGCTTCGCTGCTTGCCTTCCCTGGGACTGCCCTGTGTCAGTGGGTCTCCAGGGGTATAGGCTTTGGTGCTTTCCCTGGTGGGCAGACCCCTGGGGATGTGGGCCCAACAAGTCCCAAATTTATTGCCAACAGTCTTAGTCCAAGTACTTTATAAGTAGTACATGGTATTTCTGTAACACTAGGGGGTCTTACTGATTCATTCCCTTCCTTAGTCCTGTTAATTCCTAACTCCAGGGAAAAATCCCTACCTGGGGAAACAACCTTTCTTGGGGAGGTGGGGGGAACAAACATATGCCATATACACCAGGTCCCTTGAAACATGGGCTGTGCAGATGTTTCTTCCCTGCAGCGACTGTGTCAAGCAGCAAGGGTGGACTGGCTTCTGGCATTAATTCAAGTTTTAAGGCCAAAAAATATTTTTAATGTGATTTCAAGTTGGCAGGCATTGAGGCTTAGTGGAAAGCACCAGGGACTGATGGGCCTCGGGAGACCTGGGTTCTAGTTCCAAAGTTGCTGTTTAGACCTGTGTGGGCCTGCAGAAGCCCTCACTCACTCCATGCTCAAACAAGGTGTCTGGGTTGAAGCCAGGAGAAATGTAGAAGATTTTGCTTGTTGTTTTACAGGCCTCAGCTCTAGGTCCAGCGCTGTTTGCTGGGTGGAGGAGTGAGAAATTTTTATTCTGTGGAAATTGCTGCAGGCCTTTGCACAGGACCAGCTGGGAAGGGCAGGAGTATCAGTGTTTTGGCTTCTGACCTCTGCTTGCCCTAGTCACAGGCAGCCCAGACACTGGTCCTCTCAAGCCCCTGGGGCCTCCAGAAGGTAGGCCTGTGGTGATTGAAGGCAACTCTGCTCCCAGCTGGCCCATTCCCCACAAGGAGGAGAGACTGACATAGCACCACAAACTGTCAGAGCAGAAGGGAGCCCAGATCAGCTGACCCTGAGGGTCACACACTAGCCCTGGGCCCATTACAATGAATAAGAATCCCCAGAGATATTGGCATAAATATAGACACATAGATCAATGGAACATAATAAAAAGCCCAGAAATCAACCCACACATATATGGTTAATTAATTTATGACAGAGGAGCCAAGAATATATGATGGCAAAAGGACAGTCTCTTCAAAAATGATGTTGGGAAAAACTGGACAGCCACATGCAAAAGAATGAAATTCTACCACTATCTTACACCATACACAAAAGTCAATTCAAAATGGATTAAAGGCTTACATGTAAGGCCCCAAACCATAAAGTTTCTAGAAAAAAAAAACATAGATAGTAAGATCCTTGACATCTGGTCTTGGCAATATTTTGGATATGACACCAAAAGCAAAAGCAGCAAACAAACAAGCAAATAAATAAAAACCATACACATACACAAAAAGAACAAGTGGGACTACATCAAACTATAAAACTTCTACACAGCAAAGGAGACCATCAATAAAATCAAAAAGCAATGAGAGAAAATATTTACAAATCATATATCTGATAAGAGATTAAAATCCAAATTATATAAAGAACTCAAACAACTCAACAGCAACAAAACAAAACAAAAAAACAACCACCACAATCTGATTAAAAAATAGGCAGATCTAAAAAAAAAGTCAGATCTAGGCTTAGGTGGTTTGACTCAGTGGATAGAGCGTCAGCCTGCCAACTGAAGGGTCCTGGGTTCGATTGCGGTCAAGGACACATACCTAGGTTGCAGGCTCAATCCCTAGCCCTGGTCAGGTGGACTGCGGGAGGCAACCAGTCAATGTCTCTCTCACACATTGATGTTTCTCTCTCTGTGTCTCTCCCTTCCCTTCCACTCTCTCTAAAAATCAATGGAAAAATATCTTCTGGTGAGGATTAACAACAACAAAAATAGGTAGATCTATACAGACATTTTCCCAAAGAAGGTACATGAAAAGATGCTCAACATCATTAATCATTAGGGAAATGCAAATCAAAACCACAATGATATATCACCTCATACCTTTTAGAATGGCTATTATCAACAAGATAAGAAATAAGTGTTGCAAGGATGTGGAGAAAAGGGAACCCTTGTGCACTGATGGTGGGAGTGTACATTGGTGAAGCCACTATGGAAAACAGTATGGAGGTTCCTCAAAAAATTAAAAATAAAACATATGATCCAGGAATCTTAATTCTGGGTATTTATCCAAAGAAATGAAAACACTAACTCAAAAATATATGTACACCCCATAGTCATTGCAACATTATTTACAATAGCTAAAATATGGAAATAATCTAAGTGTCTATCAACAGATCAATGGATGAATGGATAAAGAAATTGTGTATGCCCCACCAGTGTGGCTCAGTGGTTGAAGGTCAACCCATGAACCCAGGAGGTCATGGTTCGATTCCCAGCCAGGGCACATGCCCAGGTTTTAGGCTCCATCCCCAGTGGGGGGTGTGCAGGAGGCAGCTGATCAATGATTCTCTCTCATCACTGATGTTTCTATCTCTCTCTTCCTCTCTGAAATCAATAAAAACATATTTTTAAAAATTGTGTGTGTATATATATATTAGAGGCCTAATGCATGAATTCATGCACAGGTGGGATCTGGCTAGCCTTCCCCAATTGGGGCTGATAGGGCCCGGCTGGCCAGGGGGAAGGGCAGCGGGCAGTTGGTGGGCCGGCCCCG